TATTTTAATATTCACAATAATTTAAAAAAGACATTGTGTTTTATATTGTGTGTATGCATATATTTTATAATGGGCATGTTCCTCGGACATGTGCGCATGTGAAATTCATATAGTTTTGTAAACCTAATGAACATTATAAAATGCATTTTTCAATAAATACTGCTCTGTAAATAAACAAAAATCGGGCGAATTTGAGATTGGGATTATATTTTTTAGAAAAGTGCAAAAGTACATTGAATGTATCAGTATGAAAAATACCTATGTCGTCTAGTTGACTATATCGGACTAGTGACATAATCATTGTAACTCATAAAAATGTTTCATATTTATTTTTTCTCTGTTCCAAAATAAAGTTTCACCTACTTTTTAATACCTATTCTTCTATACGATTCAAATTTTATTTATTTTGTTTATATATTTTCAATACTCACTCCACAACATAATACTACATTCGTCCTAAAAAAATTTCTCATTTCGGTTTACGTGATTTGACTAAAATTATTTTCAATTTAATTTATTTGACCGTATATGTAAAATTTAAAAATAAATTTTATATATATTCAAAAACTACATCAAAAGTTTCATAAAATAAGAGGTGACATGATTACGTTATTTTAGAATATGATTAAATTTTCAATGTGGGAATTGTAATTTTCACTGATTAAATTTTTATGTAAATTTTAAATATATAAATTATACTTTTAAATTTTACAGATATAATCAATTAAATTGAATTTAGTCAAACTTTGTAAAATAAAATGAAAGGAAATTTATTTAAACTAATAATAATGGTAATATTAATAATAATTATATTTATAATTATAGTAAAAGTGAATATGAAACATTTTTATGGGATAATAATCATAGAGTATATTATTATTATTATTATTATTATTATTATTATTATTATTATTATTATTATTACTCGATGAAATAAAACGTGTACTCTATCGTATTAAAGGAACAGGATCTAATAATAAATAGAGAAGGGTAATCAATGAATCTTGTTGGGAAGGTAGTAGAGCTAACTACACACAAGCCTAGAAGTCAACTACAAACCCTTTACAAATATTAACCCCTCCCTCCCATTATTTTTATGGCATTTGAATTTCACATGTGTGGCTTAATTAAAAAAAATAACTAAATATGTGTAGAATTAAAAACCAAAAACTATATATGTACTCGTAGTACTTAAAAAAAACATCAAAAATTCTGAAAAATGATGACGTGCCATGTCTATATTATTTTAAGGAATGACATATGAAAATGTATAAATAGTACAAAAGTAAATAGTACAAAAATATGAGTAGTATATAACCAGACGCCAGTGTATAATAATGCGTTTACATGCTGGTAAAGGGAAAAAAAATATTTTCGTGTTTTAGAAATTGGATGAAAAATAACCCCCATTTAACACTGTTCATATATTTAATCTAGCATTTGTTAGAGAACTCAATTTGTTTGAAGATAAAATACAAAAGGAAAAATATTGAAAAATTGAAAAACCACTACCAATGGTTGACTAAATATATTTTATAATTTTGATTAAGTGAAAAATAGGCTAAAATGTACTCCATATGATATTAGGGGTATAATAGTAAAAAATAAGTCAATCTGTTAAAAAAGTGGTGTCAAACCGTCTAGAGGGACATAGGTATAGGTAAGATTTTAAAACGAGGAGCGAGTCGAGAACGAAAACAAAATGGTCTCCTCCTAGAATAAAGAACCACAATAATTTCAAAGAGTAGCTAGCTCCCACAAGCGTTCTAACATTTGACCTATAATTGAATATATTATATAAAGTATATTAATCACATAAAATAATATTTTGAAAATATTTTATAAAATAAATATATTAAAATTATTTTTATATCAACATCTAATCTTAATTTTATTTTTGATATCAAAATTTACCAATTTTGAAAAAAAAAAGAGAAAACGGGACAAATACTAAGAGACGGAGATAGTAAGAGCTTGTTCTCTTCACCGATTCTGATTAGTTCTAATCAAATTGGAACACGTTTTTATCCGATTTATTCTGATTTGATTGTATTTATATTTAAAGTTGTTTTAAATTTAATTCCAATAAGAATAAATAATAATAAATAATACTCCCTCTGTCCCAGAGTATTCGTCCAGTTTTGACTTTTGGAACTGTTCATCTAAGCACTTTGACTCATCAAATTCTCTCAATGTATAAACCTAAATATAGTCATGTGTGATCTTGTTTGATTTGTCTTAACATATAGATTATTAATATATAATTTCTATAATTTTTTAATATACAAATTACAAGATAAAATAGATTAAAAAAGTGTATTGGATGATGTGTAAAAATGAAAATGTACAAATACTATAGGACGGAGAGAGTAATAAAAAGTTGAAGAGAACAAACTCTAAATCATTCCCTATGGAAGAGAGACTAATTCGAATCGATAGACTAAAAATATGAATCGGTCAAGCGGGTGACTAAAATTTGTTTGTGGTCAACTTTTCGTGTGGAGAAGATGATCAACTGAAGATGCTAGGTGGTTGAAATTAAAGTTTGATGGTCGAAAACTAAAAAAAGAAGTTAACAACTCTGGAAAATAATTTTTGAACACATCATTTTGGTGTAGACCAGTGTGTTACATCCAGAGATAATAATTATCTGTGGGTAACTGTAGCACACTGGTGTAAACGTAGTGTACACTTAGCATAACCTAAAAATTTTGTCATGAAACTAAATTTTTGGGTTAAAGAGCAAAGTAGGAGTAAAACATTGATAATGTACCGAAATAGGTGTCATTTAAATATTGCAGAGTAAAATTAAATTCAGTTAGTAGAGTTGACCACCTCAGTCATTCATCGCTGCCGTGTTGACTATATTCTTCTTCTCTTTGGATTCACAACCACTATTGCTTCTAGTGGTCACCGTGTAAGAGGCCGGCTGTGAGATCATTGTCAAGTAACCAGAGCTCAGGAGGAGCATCGTTGTTGGCCAGAGCAACCTAGTTGTCGACACCACCACTGGCATCACTACCTTTGCCACCCCTAATGCCACAGCCACAATCTGCACATTGATAATGTCACTTTTTTTATCTATAGATTGTCAAATAAGGCTACATGACAACATATAATGCCACACATAACAATATATAATGTCATAAATGACAATATATAATGTCATACATGACAATGCACAGTAACAAACATGGTAAAGTATAATGTGGCACAACGTATATGCCAATTCTTAATGTCAAAAGAATGAAATGCCAAAGAAAGTAAAAAAAAATAAATTCATATCAAAACTTGCATTTTAAGATGGACTCTGTTAATCTTTGCTCCAATTTTTCATTCAAGCTTCTTTTCATCTGAGTCTAGGTCGGAATCAATGTAGATACTGATATTGAACTACTTGAAAACAAATAAAAAATTGACCTTAACAATAGATCTATTGCCATTGATGGAATTATGGTCATTATTGTACATCGTTGTCATGATTTGAGCCGGAATCTTGATTCCAGATATAAGTTGTTCGCCAGACTTCGGGTGGGAGTTCAAAATCAATGGTGCACTTGTGTTCTGCTTTGGCCTGGGATCGGAGAGGAATGGTGATGCACCTGTGATCAAGAGTGGCCTATGATTGGAAAGGAGCGATTTGATCGAAATATCGAAATGGTCAAAGAATGAGAAAGAATATATGGGAATGGATTATGCGATGGGAAGTTACAAAAGTTTGATTAATTACTCTTATTTAAAGGAGTTTAAGTCAGAGATCCTACTTTGAAGATATCACATATATTTTGCTCCTATTTAGGGGTTTTATTTAATTCTCGGTTTCTAAAATGGATGAATCGATTTGGTTCCATTGGCAAGTCCATTTACGACCCGTTTATTATTTAAAACAAAAGTAAAATTTACTTAACAAAAACACAATTAAATATTCAATTATATAAAATATAAATCTTACAAAATTATTTTTTATTAAATTATATATACAGTTAAAAAATCAAAATGGAACCAAGAATTGAAATTTGAACTGTGGGTTCCAGTTCCAAAAAATATAGAATCGGGAAACACACACATGTCCAATTCTAATTTTGAAAGTCTCAATTCTAGTATTGACTTGAAATCAAATTTGTGTCCGCCCTGTTCATGGGGTTATTATTAATGAAAAGCATATATAGCATGTCGGCGTGATTTATAATAAAAATGTTGAGGCCGGATATGGATCACCACCAAGGATTCTAGATGAGAAGCTTGCTCAGATTCGAATCTCAATTTTGTGCGTTGACTCTTTATGCTTTAGTAGATTGAGAAAGTAAGTATAAACAAATATTACATTCTAATAGAGTTAAGAGTACTCGAAAAATGTTGAGGATATGAACCACTACGATGTTGCCACTTCCACATATTTTTTGTTATTAAAAAGATCTAACAAGGTCATAGTAGACGAGATACAGAAATGTTAACAAATGACTATTTATAGAAACTCATATAATAATTGAGAACTAAATTACTGATATTTGATATGTAAGGACTAAATATGTATAACGACCTATAACTGGAAACTTTTTATGAAATTTCTCAAAAAAATTATACTAATATTTTGTGTCAACGTCACACTGATATAAAATGAAAGTGCACAACTATAATGTACAATGTAGAATACAAATCTTGGAGTTCAAATAACTTACGGTATATTCTAATTTGTGGCAAAAAATAAATAGAGACAAAATAGAGACACTTGTGAGTCTAAAAACTTTTGGTGTACAACTGAGTAACGAGTCCTATATTATCGTGAATTTGCAAATTGATCAACGAATGGAAAATGCTAAAAACTCCCATCCTTGCTATCACCCATGCCCCCTACATAAACATGTGGTAAGGAGGCAAGAAAATTAAAATTAGAGGGTGAGTGGAGAATAGATAGAGATAAATATGTGGTAAAGAAATGGATGGAGGCAAAGTTGGTAGCAAGAGTGAGAGGTGTCTAGCATGGTCCTCAACGAACAAGTCTACGTGGCCACATTTTTTATCCACAAACAATCCAATCTCCCATTCTTCTAAGCAACCAAATAAAATTCCCAATCCACTTTCCAATTTGGTCCTCTTTCTCTTCTTCAAGATTCGCAATAGGGGGGAAAAAATGTCAGTAGCTTCTTCATCTCCATTCTCATCCATCAAGATCCCAAATTCTTCTTCTTCTTCATATTCCACTTTCACGAGATTCTCTACAGCCAGACCCATCACAGTAACCGTGAGGAGCTCTCAGACCGAAGGCCCATTAAGGAGACCCGTGGCTCCTGTGAAGCCGATCCCGCCCCGTCCGCCGCAACCCTCTCCTCCGCCGCCGGATCAGCCGGGCTCGGCGGCTGCGGAGGGCAGGAGCGTAATTACCATCGAGTTCCAGAGGCAAAAGGCCAAGGAGCTGCAAGAATATTTCAAGCAGAGAAAGGCAGAGGAAGCCAACCAAGGCCCTTTCTTTGGTTTTATTGGGAAGAATGAAATTTCCAATGGGAGGTACTAGATATATATTCTTGCATTTGAACTTCCATACTATACTTGTTTGGATGTGATAGTGTTTATTCAGTGTTTGGATTAGGAAATGGAAAATGATTGATTAAAGTGATGTTAGAGTCTTAAAGCATTAAGGTAGTGTTTGAGAACTAACATTTCATTTCAATTCTTGCATTTCAATTTCAAAACTTGAATTCTTGAATTTCAAATGACAATGGAAGACATATGGATTTGCAATTGAGCTTTGTAATGAATTCGGGGAATTTGCCCCAAATCCAAATTTTTAAGATTTTTCAAACATGAAATTTGAGCCAAATCCGGATTTGAAATCCAAATTCCAGTTCCCAAACATGTCGTAATACACTTTCAGCCACAAGCTAGGTCTAACAAAACATCCTCTTTGTTTTTTGTACAAGGATAATGTCTTGTATTTCTTGACCCTCAAACCCTGACGGAGTTGGGAATATCACGGTTTTGTTGTTTGTTGTCATCCTCTTCTATTTGATCATGGTTTGCATGACTGTAATTTGATAACAAGATTAGAATGGACTTTAAGGGTGTTCAAATCCAAACACAGAAGATTAGGAGGATGGCATGTTCAAATATCTATACTCTATAGGTATTCTTAATGGTTTTGACTTTGAGAAGTGGGATAGAAGAATTCTAGGGTGTATTTAACTTGAAAGCCTTATAATGCATTATTGTTGAAAGTCCACAAGGAATTTTTATATTGGCTCCATTTGGAAACAACGTTTGAAATTAGGGCTAGAGTTTTGGGTAAACTTTTAATGTTATAGATTAGCGTTTGAAAACAAACGCTAAAACTAAAAACTACCTTTTGTTAGGATTTTCAAAATGTTGACGGAAAACAGGATCGTTGACTGGTTTGGCTATTTTTCCCCTTTCTTTTGGTTTTGTTGTCTTCTTATCATATCCTCACATGCAATAACACCCTGTTTGGTTAGCAGATGGGCAATGTTTGGCTTTGCTGTTGGGATGTTAACAGAGTATGCCACCGGCTCCGACTTTGTGGATCAAGTGAAGATTCTTCTCTCAAATTTTGGACTACTAGACTTGGAATGAGGCTCTGGCTTTCAACCCTCAAAGTTGAATGTTATGTTTTCTGCAATATGTGCATTGTTTGGTGTGTATTTTATTGTTGTATTCATTCATTTTTAGTAAAACTTGACCTGAAAACAGCTTTTTAAACTATAAAAAGGCATACACATTGTACTGTCCTTTTTCTCTTTAACCTTGAAAATTATGGTTTTGATGAGGGTAGTTTGGATTTTGGAACCAAACTTAGCTTATGGGTATTTTTTTAGGTAAATGACTGGGGGTTAAATAATTCATTAAATATCCTTTTGGTCTCAAAGCTCTAGTTTACAACTAGCTTGTTTTTCAAGTTTTTGGGTGAAGGGTTTTTTCGTTTGCACTTTCTTTCACCTTTATATATACTGTATACGATATGGATTCATCTCTCATTGTAGAAAATGAAGTACCATTATAATGGTGGCAAAGAAAGAGAACATATACTGGTATTACAATGATGAGGAAAGAACAATTGTTTTCAGAAAAGCCTAGAATGGCATTCAAGAAACTGAATATAAACAGACAAGAAATTACAAACAAAAAGCCATTTTAATGGATGGCTATTGCAGGAATTCAGAAAGTCTTCCATACATAAAGGTTTCACTCATATTCCATCTACACAAATCGATGTATCTTAATACAAAGGCTCGCTAGTTGCCATATTGCTCTGTCTTTCTCCCAAAAAGAACTCTTGCAAGACCTCCGTCTTAAGCTCAAAAACTACATAATCTTGCATGAACAAGCCTTTTCACTCCGGCTTGTATACTCGTCATCTGATTCATCATCACTGAAAACACGAGTTCATTCAGTAAAAAGTGTAAAGCACAGTTCAAAAAGCAGTACCTCATATACACAAAAATATCAAACGACTCGTGAACAAAATGCAGTTACACTTATAAGCACAAATGCGCAAAGCAGTAGATAAACATTTCTACACCAACTTGTTCCAAGAAGCTTTTGTGTCATGATTTTACAACAAATATGAAATATCATTGACAAATAGAGTATAAACGAATTATGAGACATTGGGAGTATTCGATTAGCAAAACACGAAGGCAGGAGACTATTGTTCGGTGGGAGGGCTTTGGGTGGGGGGAGGGTGGAAGAGTGTTGTGTGTTTGGTTGGGGAAGTTATGGTGGAATGAGATGAGAGTGGCGGAGATATAGACTCCAAACTCCTCACATCTCACTCTCCCAATTTGCAATATAGATAGAAACTCTAGGTTTGGAAACATGGGGATTAATACATTAGACTTGTGCTTGTTACTCCCTTTGTCCCATCCGGTTTCTATTTGGCACATGGACCAAGAAGATGAGAATAAGGAAGAAGTGTCCAATTTCCCTTACTTTTGGGAAGTGGATACATGAGTTGGGGGCAAATGGGACATTACATACTTCATTTTTTGTCTTAAATGGAACGTGGAGAAATATGCTGGAAGGGCACACAAATAATATTGTCATACTAGACAAATACACTGAGATAAGGCAATAACATAGGAGTAAGATATTATGATACTTGCCTAACGAATTTGTATAGTGAGAGTTTTATATGGAGTGATACTCCCTTAGTCTCATTAAAATTCATATTTCACCAATAAGGCAATAACATAGGAGTAAGATATTATGATACTTGCCTTTTTGTTCGTAAAGAGCTCTTTTTTTAAATTTCTTCATATAGGACTTTTTTGGAGGGATGGGGGAGCATTATTCAACAGTTTAACTGTTTAAGCATCACCCATTAAACAGTGAGCCAAAAAAAGGTGCTTCTACAACTTAAACAAGGGAAAACCCCAATATGATCCCGCAAAAACAATTGAAAAACATTAGTAAACATTTCAAGTAAAAGACTGAGCAATGTTGAAACATACCTAGGTTCGAATTCCCGGATTTCAAAAAGCTCCCCACCATGTGTATCTGTCCAATGGACCCTCCTTTCGATATGATTGTCAGGAGCGTCATTGCTCTCTTCACTGACCGTCTCACAGTCATTATCACTGTCACCAGAAACAGATGTTCTATTTCTTGGTTTCTTTAAGCTGCTCTTACGTGCAAGCTTTGTGGATGTGTTTGTCCCTTCAACAGAATGAATATCCTCACCCTTCTCAGAATCGGGACCGGGCCCTGCTGGTGTTGATTCATGGTTTTGACTAGGACCAACCTTAAGGTGAGATGGGCTGTTATCTAGTCCAGCTGCAGCACGACCAAAGCAGACAAAGGAAGTGCACCCTGGGAAAGGCCTCCTGTTCTTCCTGGAAGCCAGTTCAAGATGAGTATCAGTTTCGTGGCTCACCAATTGGTATTGGCTCCACGGGGTAACTCTATCGGGCTTTTCTTCGCTCTTCTGGCTCAACAGAAAAAGGGATATGCAGTTGCTATACCCAGAAGCTGAAGAAGAGAAGAAACCCCCACCTTCTATTGCCAATAACATCAGTTCTTCTTCTCATCTGGCCACCATTACAAATTTGTTGGTTGATTAACTCTCACCTCCAAAACTAGCTCCCCTGCTACAGCTGGTAGTGTCCAACAAGACACTCTAGGGGGCAGTAAAAACAACCTAAAACACAATTCAGAATCAACAACGGTTACCTACTGTAAAATAAACAAGAAAAAGGCACACTTCAAGTGTCACAGTCTTGAAAAATAAACTTTAACTAAATTAAAAAACCGCAGTTCTGATTCATTTCAAAAAATTGGCTTGGTAAAGCTTATAGGTGCTCAATATTCAAATCTTACTTCTAAGGATTTACAATCAACTAATATAATCAATCATAAGACACGTTAAACAATTATAAAAACAGATTGTTCAGTCATTAGTGAACAGACTATCAGTAAACTATTGTTAAATCAAAGTAACTGGCATCTAAAGGAGAAGAAGACGCAGAAAAAAAAACAGATTCACGACACGAAATTTATAATCAGAACAACTCGAGCAAATGCAATCTCGACGGATGCACAAAGAACAAGAATAGAATTCAGAGGCGTGGCGTAGTTAGAGACTTAGAGTTGTGTGGAGGAAAAGCAGTGAGATTACCAGATCTGAGGAAACAGAAGCTCGCCGGGGCTTCAGCGGCAGGACTCCATCTCCGATCACTCGAAACCGTGTAGAATTCACCGACTCCTACTGCAGGAGAAAAGATCGACTTTCCCGAACAAAATCAGATAGATACGGACGGAGTATAAAGGATTCGATACATCAGGCACTGCCGCACTGGCGAATCGAGCTAAGGATCCACTTTGGGAAAGAAGAAATAAACGTTTTCTACGTATAGGATACACTTTGGGGACTTGTTAGAGCACTGTGGATACTACTTTGTAAAAAATACATTATATACAAGATCCTATAGTAAAATTGTCACTCCAATGTAAAATTGTATTAATATACTACATGTTTTTCCCATCTTGTAAATTCATTTTTTCTATATATTTATTAAAATACATTTATATTTCTTGTTTCTTATAAAAATACTCAATATATGTATAGTTTGAAATGCATGTACCATAAAAATTTTAAAAATATAAATATTATTACAAATAAATATTTTAAAAATAATAATATATATATAAAAAAGTGTATTATTTAAGAGAAATTATTGGAGAAGCTATGAAAAAATGGAATGCTAAAACACATTTGGTAGTGTAAAATACAATATACACTATCAAAATTTACCATACCCATTGGAGATGCTCTTAGGGAATGGCCTTTTAGTTAATATTTTCTTCCCTCCAAAATGTTTGTCACATTTTTTTAAACAATTACAGAAACTTTTATTTATTTGTACATTTCGTTAATTATTTAATAAAATAAATATTCTTGACAATTCTTATTTCGAACATTGTTTCAAATAGTTTTTTGCCTCATTTCTTAAAATTTGGTAGTTATTTTGCCTTGTTTTTTGAAAATTTTGTAGTTAAATAAATGTTAGTTTTAGATAATTTTTTTCAAATATTAAAATTAAACGCTGACATTCTTATTATCAAATCCTTAAGTTGGTTCAAATTTAGATCGAAAGTGATGTAGAAAACAATTTCAATATAATTATTTATAATATACGAAGTACATCTTAATTCGTAGTCAATATTTATCTGAAAGTGATAATTCTAATTTCTTTAGTCAATAATTAATTAATTGAAGTGTTAATAAACCTCAAGGTGAACCTCACTCTCTTGTGCTCTATGTGGATAAGAAGTTAGCATTAAGATATGCTCACTCTCTTAATATAACGAAAATAAATTTAAAACTAAGGTTTTTCGTAAAAAAGATAGACAAATAGCTCAAAGACTTAAACAATTATCAACAATAGAACAAAAGTGAGACCGATATGGAAATGGGTTATTAAGTCAAATTAAAACTTTCTTTCAATTGTCTCGATCTAGACCCACACTCGAAATTATTTATGTCAATGTATAAATTCTTTTGATCATGTCATAAAAGGTAACACACTGACTTTTTTATATTTTATTTATAATCAATGATAATGTAAATTAGTTGGCTCGTGCCAATCATTCATTACTAGATCGTGGATAACGGTCGAATGTCGGATATATTCGTATCCGTTTTCAATTTTTGAAGTAAAGTTGAATAATATTTTAATTTCTAATTAAATTAAAGTCAATTGTTATCCATTCAATTATAATTTGTTATGGAGTAATATTTTTCTTATTGTTTGTAATTTATACTTCCCTCGTCCCAAATTATAATGTTTGTTCATTATTCACAGAGTCAAACTTCATTCACTTTCTTTATCTATTTTTGTTAGTAATTTGATAAAATAAAATATTATTGTTACTACTAGTTTTGTAGATCTTTTGATGTAGTATTTTAATATGTAAGTTTTGTTTTTTAATTTTATACCATTTGTCATATAAAATGATTTGAAAATAATTTCAGTCAAATATTGTAAACTGAAACAGACATTATAAAATGGGACGGAGGGAGTAATATTTTACGAGAACTCCATGTGGTAAAAAGATATATATAGTACATATATAGACATATTTAAATTCGTCTACACACATTTTTATGTATCTACATATTTGTATATAAAAATGTCTTGAGATGTCAATAGAAAAATAAAATATAAAATTTTAGAATTGGGAAAAACTATATATAATGGATCGAATATACGGATAAATGGTTATTCAAATGGATATATATGCGGAGCGGATTATAAACGGATTAGATGTATAATTACTAAATTCATATCCGTTTAGCAATCAGGTGTTTTTAATCGGATACGAATAATAACCGCTTTTAATGGATACAAATATTTTCCATGTAAACGGATAAGGATGCAGATGGTAATCAATTTTCGATTATCCATTACATCCCTAAACAAGATGATGAAAATGGTGAGGATGAAGATAATCCTTTTGATCGCATTCACGAGTTAATCATTACTTCAAAGTTTAATTATGTTAACAATCTTAGCATTTGAAGTGTTTGTTTCAGACATTTCTTCACCTTGATTGATGACTTGTATCTTAACATTTTCTAATGTTTATTTCTGACATGCAATACTCCTAAACTCACTTTTTTTGGAGACTATACTCAAGAATTTGGTATTGTTGAAAGACAATAGTTTAATTTGTAGTAAAAACAAGTGTGAATATAGTGTTTTAAAAAAACATATTTGAACCGTCGGTCCAACGATGAATCAGTACCTGGGTCGTCCATCGGTTTAATTTTCAAAACTATGCCTAGTCTCAACCCTCCCATCTCACTTTTTACTATTCCCATCAGAACATTGTTTTTTGAGCCATGCTAGGGGTACACTAAAGATGTACTCCATTTGTCATTCACTCCTTTCTCTATCACTCATTTTTACCCCATTTTTATTTATTTAATTTTTTTTAATTTCTTACCTATTTTTGTGGTAATGGAGGTGGTGAGAAACAAATGGGGTATTTCGTGTACCCCTATCATTTTTTTTGTTTTTTTTGTTTGTTTTCCTGTTCCAATGGGACGGAAACTTCACCCGGGAAGCCCTGAAGCTGTCGTCTAACCGAGCTTCCTAGATTCAATGAGCAAGAGATGACGATGATTGGGAACCTCATCGCCGGATTCCATTTAGTCTTTCTCTCTCTACACTTTTGGTCTCTTCTCCGCCGCTCGATCGCCTGCTCCATCGCCTCCGACGACGCAGGTTTATCTTTCGCACTTTCACTCTCACATGAAATTAAAGGGTGAAAATGTATTATTATACTCCGTATGACCTTTCCAGTGTATCACGATTCATAGAGCCATTTTTCGTTGAATAAAGTTTGTTTCTGGCGATGTGATGATTTTAAGTAATTGTCTGTAAGAATTGGTTAATCTAATTGTATCATTAATCAGGAAACTGTATATTTTTAATGTAACCATGCGAAGATTTATGCTAAGTTTTATATTAAATCCTGTTTATTCCCCCATAAAATTTCTCTCTCGTGGAATCATAAGTGAGCTCGAGTGAATTCTTCTTCATTTATATTGGATTGCTTCGTTGGTTGTCACCTCTCTTTCTCTCTCGTTTTATGCTGGATAGATTTTACGAATCTGAGTATTACTTCCGGATCGAGGAGACATGTATTAGAAGATGAGAGCAACTTGTCGTTGGAAGAGCACTTACAAAAACTGTACTCTCTAGATTCTGTTTGCTTTTGTTACGGAGCATTTGTTTTTTTGTCTGTTTTTCATATGTCATTGTGCTTGAATGGGAGATAGTGTTGATTTTATGTGTTTTTTTTGTTTTCATTTCCCCCGGCAGTGAAAAATTATCTAGAGGGTACATGACAAATTCCGAGCTTGAAAAAGCAATCATGGCATTTAATCGTAGGTGTAGCAGCATTTCCAGAGTATACAGGTAATTTATGATATCCATGTAATCAGCTTTCTGATGTCTGAAGATAAAAATGTTTCACCTAAATAGTATGTCAAATTATGAATATGGAGATGGTTATGGGATCTTGTAGGATGCTGGTCAAATGCTCAATCTCCAATCTGTATTCGATGCATTTAGATATTTAACTCTCACTCACGATCCATATTGTATGTTATGCAAATAATCATCCATTAAATCTGGTCATATAGATAGTAGTTATGTATGGTGGAATTTTGACTCATTCTCTACTCTATCTGATGAATTTTTTAATGTGTGAACAGCATAGGAAAGAGTGTACAAGGACATCCACTGGTAATACTTTTCTCAATGTTGGTTACTCAAAGTTTTGCTTTAATAGTGTTCTCGTCTTATATTTCAATGAGGCCAAATGGGAGTTTTCTGAAATCTTGATTTCAGTGGGTGATAGAACTATCAGACAAACCAGGGGTGCAAGAGGCCGAACCTGCATTTAAGGTATTTATCTTTTCCGAGAACTCACACTCAAGTAACTGTGATTGAGATTATGCACGGAAGGTCGAGGTCCATAACCATGCCAAAATTCTGACTACATCATCATTAAACAACATTACCCCAGTGCCTCAAAGGCTCCCGCCCATTGCATTGTAAATGGGGTTGGATGTACGTAATCTGACCCCTATGTTAAAGTATAGAGCGGCTGTTTCCAGATGACCCATGAGGAGCGTCAAAAGTTGCATTGGCTAACTGCTACTCCACTACCAAAAGAAGCACAAATAGTTTAAGATCCATTTTGCTTTATTCCATCTTACTCCAAAGCCAAATAATAGTGCATATTTGGTTCCATTGGAGACTACATCATCATTAATGGGAGTTAATTCTTTCAATATTCAAGGTTTCCAATGAGCAGGAAAATAATGCTACTCACGACTAAACAATGCATAATGATATACTAGTTTCAATAAATTGGCACTTTTTAAAGTTAATTTTAAAATGCTAGGCGTTGCTAACTTTGCCATTATGCTTCTTTGAGTGAATTTATAGAGTGAAACTAATATGGAGTATTAAAAAATTATTTGACACAATAAAAGTAATGCATCTGGCCCCATTACAGTTTTGGATAAATGTAAGGATGAAGATTCATTTGAGCTTAATTTGGCTAATTTCTCCTCTCTTAGATGGAAGCAGGCAAGCAGCAACTTGGAAGCCAATTACTCCATTATGTTCAGTATTAAGGTCTCAGAAAATGAAGAGTGACTAGGTTTTTAATATTCCTATCAGTCCCATAATTAACTTCACACTTTTCTTTTTTGTTGTCCCAAAATGAACTTCACACTTCCATATTCCTTATATGTGGCTAAAAATTTCTTCCTTCTACAAAAATTCCAACCACACACCTTTCACTTTTGAACTTTTCTCTTAAATTCCGTGAATTCAAACAATGATCTTAATTAAGGGAAGGAAGGAGTATAAGGCATAAGTAATGTGGACGATATAAATTGGAAAAAAGTTATATCCCAAGAATGAAAAGTGTATACCCAAACTTTACTAATACTCCGTATTATTGTGCAGTGATTTTATCTTTAAAAACCACTTTCCTTGTGTTTTAGCTGCCCATGTGATTGATTAATTAAACCATCGTATGCTAGATTTTTACTTCAATGATTAATTTTCTCAATAGCCTTGTTATTGTAGTTTATTGGAAACGTGCACGGGGATGAACCTGTTGGGCGTGAGCTTCTAATGCTTCTAGCTAATTGGATTTGTGATAATTACTTGAATGATCCTTTGGTAACCTTCCATTTTTATTGCTCCTCTTTTATGTTACACCTTTTTATAAATATATCTTAATTCTTCATTCCATTGTATTTCCTGTTTGCGGCTGATGTGTGTTTAATAACACAAGCCATTGCAATTGCCTGCAAAGCCGTTCTTTTTTATTTGTATTCATTTTTCTTTAGTTGTTGCAATATATTGGTTGAATGTCCAACTTTTAATTTGCGCGCACGTGTACACACTCACATGCACACTTAATTTCCTTTGTTGTGTAATGATCATGTGGCTGGACATAAACTTGGTTCCTCCACACTTCAAATGCTGTAGGCTACCTTGATTGTAGACAATGTACATCTTCATATTCTACCATCTATGAATCCTGATGGGTTTGAGACGAGGAGACGTGTAAATGCAAATAACATCGATTTGAATCGTGATTTCCCAGATCAGGTATCTTCTTTCTTATACATGTGATGGGCTTTGACATTTATTTGAGGTTTGACATGGGAGAGCGATACACAAATATAGAAAGAGTGGAATTGTGTGGTGGGCTTTGACATTTAATTGAGGTTTTTGAATAATTTTGCATTCGTGTTTTGTACAATTTGCATATTTTGATCGTATAGTGGCGGGCTCTGACATTTATTTTAGATAAAATCTTCTGTATATAGAGTATAAGCTTGTTTAATTTTCAAACTTCTCTTTACCTTTACCGTTTTAGAAAGCATTAACTAACATGAAATGACATAGTTCTTTCCCATGAATGATGATCTGGGATCTCGTCAACCAGAAACAAAAGCTATCATGAGCTGGATGGAAGAAATACATTTCACGGCATCTGCTAGCCTGCACGGGGTGATTTTTTTTCACTCTTTTTTTCATTCTGAATTATAATGTATGCATGCCAGCCACAATGCAAATGTTACATTTCCATACACACAGAGTGACAGATAGATACACACATGGGCTTTATTCACTAATCACTATAATCCTTCTGTTAATCAAAGTCAATTCTTAAGCTTTGAAGGGGAACTATGAGTATCAAAATTAGGGAAACGTGGATACTGTTTCATTAGCTGCAACAGTGTAAATAATTTCTATGGGGTACTTTCTTTTAAATAAAAATTCACAATCTACTTCTAATTCCTAATGAACTTTAACTACTTGCAGGGGGCACTTGTTGCAAATTTTCCATGGGATGGAACTCAAAATAAAAAGTGAGATTTTCTATATTTATGTTATCCGTCTGAATTATGGCGATCCATCCGGTAATATAATGAACAATTAAAGGAGAGAACAGCTATATGGTGATCCATCTGCCTTCAATGAGTGGCAGAGAAATAAGTCGCTGCCATTATAGCCCATAGTTGGAGTGGGCAGAGCACTAAGTCCCTGCCTGCTGATTACAGATTAAAGAGTGCAAGTTCGTTGTGGACAGAGTGGCAGACCTCACTCGTTGTGGTGGTTTATTGTAGAACCACAGAGTGGTCTGAATACATATTTTAGTTTCTCATTTAAAATTGTAATTTTGCAGCCAACCAGCCACTAATAGTGGTTTTGGATGCATATTTTAGTAGTGTTTTTATCTAAAAATCACCTCAAGGCATGAACTCACTTTTTAAAACCCCATTCGAATAAAGTCAGATAGAGGGCGTGTGAGGTGGTGGTTTGAAGTTATTTATTAGAACTTATAAGCTTGTTTTGGTATGTTTGGATTGATTTTTTTCTGGTTGTCCTACGTGGCTATTTTCTAATTCTTCGACTTAGAGGTAATCATGTCTATCGCGCCATTTGCAGGAAATATTACTTTGCTTGCCCTGATGATGAAACATTTAGATACATGGCAAATTTATATAGTCATAATCACCACAACATGTCGCTAAGCCAGGAGTTTCCCGAAGGAATTACAAATGGTGCATATTGGTGAGGAATTTAGGAAATGATTCAGTGAAGTCTGTCCATTTAGACTGCCTCTCATTATCTAAATTTTGGTGCTTCATTTGTTGATGCATTCATCTAGTTCATCAGCTTTATTCTTTCTCTGCAGGTATCCTATATATGGTGGCATGCAAGATTGGAATTACATACATGCAGGTTGTTTCGAATTGACATTAGAGATAAGTGATGATAAATGGCCTAATGCAACTGAAGTAAGGTTCAAGTTTGAGTCTTCTAGTATTTGGATTGCTATACTTACTGCATACATGAACATGCATAATCCAATAATTGTGAACCTCCTTGCATAGCATATACATCCAAAGGATATGAATTACTAAAATATTTTAATGTAGCAATCGGGCATGCTATTCACGTATGTATTTGTAATTTGGAATGAGCTGTGATTATGTGAAAGTGTGAACTGAAATACAGACAACAACCAACAACAACCCAGTAAGGTTGCACAATCGGGTCTACGGAAAATATGCAAACTGCCCAATTATAAAAATTTTCTGTTTCTTATAGCAATTATATGTATAAAAAACTACGAAGCATGTGTTCACTTTTCTAGTCACCAAAATTGACTTGTTGCTTAAGTGATTAACTTCCTTAATGAAGTGGGGGGTGTGGGGGTGGGGTTTCTTTTTTTCCTTTTTGGAGTCAGTTCTTGTGGAAGCATTAGTGTCTGACTACTAGTTTTGCCATGTTTCAAACTACTGAGCTTTAAATTGAAATCAAGTTTTAGCGAGCCTGTTTAAGTTAGGTTCTTTTATAGTTTCCTCCCTTCTTGATGTTACAAAGTCGAATAATTCCACTTTCCAGCATTGGTGAAAATTAGAATCCCATTATTTAGCATGACAAGTAAATTGGGAGCACCACTTCACATATTTTTATGAACAAAGATGTTATTCTATATGTAGTATCTCCATATTTTGTCCAGGTCATGTATAAATTCTATCACCAGTTGATAATAACAATAATTTTTTGATTTTTTAGTGGTAAGAGTCTAATGCAAGAAATTCCAATCTGGGTATAAATTTCAGGTTGCAAATAATGCTTACCATTTTTTTTGTATCAGGCATCACGAGTTATTGTGTACTCATGCTCTTAGGAATTATTATTACATTTTACTGGAAATCTGGAATTTTGTCTTATTGTTCTTCTAATGCGATTCTTTTGCATATTTTATATTTATAGGCTGATTCAATGGATCTCTTTTAACCCGACTTGTTGATTGCAGCTTCCCACTCTTTGGGAATACAATAAATTGAGTATGTTACACCTGGTTGCAAGCGTTGTAAAGGTAACTCCATCCTGTCATAATTTTCATTTGTACTTCTAGTATAGTATAATAATATCATTTGACGATTTCTTAATCATGCAGTCTGGAATTCATGGAAGGATCTTTTCTTCTGATAGTGGAAAACCTATACCTGCTTCAATAGACATAAAAGGAATAAATTACACGGTATGTACACCAATTAAGGTGTTTGTCTTGTAAAGTTCACAAATTTGTGAAACTACCAGAAAGTAAGTGTACTACTATAGCTTTTCTTATAACCAAGGCTCCAAGAGGCAAGAGAGATGCCAAAGTTGACATTTATTTTTCAATCAATGGCTGACACCACTGAACTAATATCAAGGCTCCACTAGAATGCGGAGTATAATTCTTTTAGTGCTGCCCTTGTCCCTCTACCTTTGTGGGCATTCGTTCTATAAAATTCGTCTAGATGTTGTTCGGTCCTATTTTTCTTTTCTACAAAGATAGTCTTCCAAACTTGGTTTTTATCCTTTATTTCCTGATATTAAAATATCAAGTTCTGCATCACGCCCTAGTGAACTAAGTATTGAGGTCTATTTGTTATGCCCGATTTGCTCTTACAATTACAACAACTAAAACCCAGCTGAATCCCACTAGAGTAGCGTCTAGGGAGGATGTGTCTACGCAGACTTTACCCCTACTCAAAAGTAGATAGGCTTTTTCCAAAGAGCCCCCCAGCTCAAGCACCACAGTAATCACGCATGCAGCCTTACCCCCAAAAATGCATTGACTAACTGTTACTTCACTATTAAAAGAAGCACACACAGTTTAAAGATCCATATTTTCTAGGTATATGACATATTCCCTCTGTCCCACTATTTTTGGGACACAGGGTAGTGAGACACAAATTAAGAAAATTAGATTTATGTGGTTGATATAATGATATTTGTGTTAAAAAGTAGATAGAAGTAAGAATGAATGTGAGCTATACAAATATTACCAAATATGATATGAGATAAAAAATAGCGGGACATGCTAAAAAACTAAAGAGGAAAAAAAATAGTGAAACAGAGTATCAACTAACCAGAGATGCTGGTCACTTGTAGTGGCGAGTTGAACATTAAGTGGTGAGCCATAATTGTCATTTGGCCCTCTGGTGATGGTATAGATTACCATCATGCAATGGTGTGTGGTCTATATCTAGTTCACTATTGGCCTATCACTGCCATGAATGGGGGTAAATGAGTGATGCCTTTGAAAAGTCAGTATTGGCCTACCAGGCTACATTACGTAAACACTCACTAGAAGGGGATTTTTTTTGTATTGATCTTTAATGTAAATGGTATAAAATATGGGCAGTATGCCCTGTGGTCTAGTGCTTCATCTGCTATATAACTTCTTTTTTTACAGATAAAAGCTGGTGAAACGTTTGCTAATTACCACCGCCTGTTAGCCCCAGGTGAAAATTATGAAGGTAATCTATGTATTCCATATTCTTTCTTGTTTTTTGTTTGTTGATTTTTAAAGAAGTGGACAACATAATGTGACATGAAATTAAGATACAAACATAGACATTAGACACAAATGCACACAATATAACCATATGGATATAGAAGTTTTCTACATAAATGCCCGACCCTCCCATATAACCAACCATACCATGTATGATGTGTTTCAAATTTCAAGCATGGGTCCTGTGAATTTGTTCGAAATCTAATGATGTCGCATATGATGTTCTCTCCATGTGTTGGGAGAATCATTTTCTCATAAAACGTCATCTATATTCATATCTCTGTTCTAGAAATCTTCTCTTTGTCACTTTGTTCCCAATAAGTTCCCACCAAGACAAAGCGCTTTGTCAAACCATCCCACATTAATCAGTGCTTGATTTTGAGCTGAGATTGTAAACTTTTTGTAGTGATAGCAACAATGACGGGATACACGCCGAAGAGGACGCAAATTGTTCTGAAGGAAGAAGCCACGAGTCTCGACTTCATTCTTGATCCAGTAATCGCGGCTAATGCAGATGGGTTTTTGCTTAAAAGATGGGATTACAGCTTCCTGCGGTGGTGGCAGTCGAACCTTTTTGTCATTTTGATTCTAATATTGGCCTTTCTCCTCGGCATCTTTCTGAAGAAGAGCAGAGTGTTGAACCGTTCCAAGCATAGACCAAACGGAGGATCCAAAAGGCCTTCCTTAGTATGAGCATTTTGAGTTTTCCCCAACCAAAGCTCCAAAAAGTTTGGGTTTTTTTCACCTCACCATATGCACAAGATTTACTACTGGTATGTGATGTTATATCTTCTACTCCGTCATTATTACTCCTTGGCTATGTACTTTTGTTTTTTGTTCCAATTTATTGTACGGACTATTTGTTTAACTTTCAAATCAGTCAAATAAGTAAGGAGTATTTGTTTACTACATAGTATTAAAAATAAAAATCTATGTGAGGTCTATAACAGAATTTCTCAAAAACTAAGTCATAAAGACGTAATTTTTGGCAAAGCATAGTTCTTTTGGTACTAATAATGTTTGTTGCCCCTGAGAGGCTGTGATTGAATTCTATCTCATTAACTCTTCTCACAAACCCAATCCCCTCAATCTTCCTTGGCATGTCAACAATATGGATAAATCTATTTGTACCTCAAGTTTTTGTACCCCGCAGGTTTGCACCAACCTTTTGTGTTGGTGTAAAACTAATTTTTATTAATGCACCAACACTTTGTGTCTGTGTAAATTTTTGTTAACGCACCAAAATTTGTGTAAGTGTAAACCATCAAAATGTTTGTATATAACTGCGGGGTACAAATGAGGTACAATTTTTGGTGTAAGTGTAGCATGGTTCCAACAATATAGTGACCGACATAGGGTAGAGGAGGGAGGGAGTAATGATTGGGTTTCTGAGAAGTGTTAATGGGATAAAACTCGTTCTTAGATAGATGGATACAAGCATTCTAAGATTGAGATATCATACTACATACTCTCTTTGGTTTCATATTTTTTTTTCTTTTGACTTTTGAGGTCAACGCTTTTAACTTTTGACCACAAATTACGGAAAATATGTACTGAATTGCAATATAAAATTAATATCAATACATTCATTTTAAAATGTGCTCTGAGTTTTGAAATTTGATGATTTTAAGATCTATGTTTATATATAACTAAATACCCCGGAGTAAATAATAATGGTCAAAATATTATATGAAAAAAAAAATATATGGGTCATTCGAAATAAGTAGGGAGTATAAAAAAAATGTGGGGTTTTGGGCATTGATTCCTTGTTGAGTTGAGGCTATAGGACCGTTCATTTATAGCGGTGTTCCTTGTTTTCATTGGGGGGAATCTCATAGCTTGGCTTTGTTGAATGAGTCTTGAGCCCACTAAAATGAATGGCTTCTACTAACCCAATTATTGCTTATTCGATGCTTTCAAAAAAAACTTGATAAGCAGAGGTTCTTTTTTTTTTCTTTTTCTTTCGTCAAGTTGGAAATAAGTGCCCTCCGACAAAATATTTTTGTGTCAAATAGTAGGAAAAAATACTACAACAACTTGACATGTTCCCTTGTGAGAATTGGAGCAATCATTATAAAATTTTGGATACTTTAATGTCTTCCGCTAATTTTTGCAAATGAGACTAACTTAGAATGGACGGGAATTTTAAGAGACATTGTTAATGAGTTTGGAGGTGTGAGTGCACACTCGTGACTCGTTCAAGGATGTTTCAAATCTCATAGCGGGATCTTGGGGTGGCTTGCAGCTCCTAGCGGGGTCTAAGGGATAATTCCCCTGGTTGGGGTTGAAGTAAATTGAGTTGGAATGCATAAACTAATACATTCCAATACAATGTTTATCTCTAGCACTCTTTGTAGAATGGACTAAGGGGCTGTATGTTTCAGCCTTTCAATGGTTCAGATGTCTGAATGGTTCAGCACTTAATGGTTCAGACTGTTTGTTTCAGCCTCTTAATGGTTCAGATGTCTGAATGGTTAAGAGATTTGCCTCTGAATGGTTAAGTATTATACAGAGTCTGAATGGTTAAGACTTCTTATCTGAATTGATCAGACATTTGCCTCTGAATAGTTAAGCAATATACTAGCTCTTAATGGTTCAGACCTCTTACTGGTTCAGCACTTACCGATTCAGAAGTTTCCAAACAGCCACTAATACATTTGAAAGTTTGATCTCAACACATTCTGTGAAAAAACACAATGTGTCAACTTTTGCGTAAAAGAGTTACAAATAGGTTCTCACAACGGCATTAAAAAATGATCATATTCTATAAAGAATTTTTCCACGTATCAACGATATATCTCAGCTTCTAATCAATAAGTCTGAAATTATAATTTAACGGATAATGCTATTTGTACCCCAAGAATTTGTATCCCATTTTGTACACCGCAGGGATGTACCAACATTTTGTGTTGGTGTAATTCTAATTTTTGTTAACGCACGAACACTTTTTGTCAGTGTAAATTTTTGTTAACACACCAACACTTTGTGTTGTGTGAACCATCAAAATATTGGTGCATACCTTTGGGGTAAATGTAGCATGTTCCTAATTTAGTTTATCTTTTATCAATTTACAGTCCAATTTTAACGGTTTTCTTTCATTGAGGGCCCCACGTCGGTGATAGAAATCCCCCACCCCCAACTTGCGCCATCTCTATCCGACTAAGCAAAATAGTTTGCCAAATTAACTCTTCTCACCAACCTTTTTACATATATACAAAGAGTTAAATATCTCTTGTACAAACTATACAAACTTTTTATTTATGCATTTCATTTTTTATTTTTTAATTTATTAAAGCATTTTATTCACTTGATGAGTTGCACAAATCACAAGTTCGTTTGTGACACAGATATTTGTGACTTTAAAATTTCTATACAGTAACAAAGAATTTTTTGTTAATTGTCAGCGCATTAATATACTCCCTCCGTCTCTAAATATATTACAATTTTTTTTTCTCTCATCTCGATAACTTTTGTTTGTTTACGCGATTTCATTAAGTATTTGATAAAATAAAATATTCTTGTCACCTCTTATTTTGTAGAACTTTTGAAAAAACTTTTCAACCTTACCTTAGAGAAATTCCTAGTTTTAATACTCCCTATATTACTCTTTCAGTTGGGAACAACATTTGAAATCTGCCTCAAAATTTTGGTAACTTTAGTACTCATACTTTTTTTTTTAAATCACAAGGTAGGGGGACCCAAACTAGCTCATCTCCTCAGTAGAATGCATTCTACAAACTCTGGTAGCATCCATCATGTCCTCTACCTCATGTAGGGGTCCTCGTGTTCAATCCAATCTCCTGGAAGGTTCCTATTTTAGCAAGGTGGTTAGCCGCAACATTCTGCTCTCAAAAAATGCTTTTGAACTTGGTCCTCGTAAACTTCTTTTGCCGGTTCTGCTTGATAACATCAATGATATATCGCGAGTAGGGCCTCTAAAAAAAGTTTTGGCAGCTCTCAAATTTTATTTAATTATTTGTCAAAAGTTTAATTTGGGGTGATTTCTTTATGTTTTGTAATTTTTTTTGAAAGCTATTGACTCTATTACAAGGGAGTACCAGTTTATATTATTCACAACCTAGTAACCTATAAAAAGTCAATGCTTCCGCCTATGCTAGGACTCAAACTTGGGTGAACTTTCCCATGAATCTTGGAGAGTGTGCTTACTACCACTCGAGTCAGAAGAGAAGTTCTATGTTTTGTGATTTGTAAACGATTGATCTATTTCTTCAGACAAAAGTAAATTGTAGTCACATCAATTTTTTTAACATTAAATTTGATATCATGCCATCTTTTTGAACATTAATAATTTTATTATAATGTAGTATTTGTTCATATATCTCCAACTCATTAAGCACGTATAATTATTATTTCTGCCGGAGATCGACATGTGTAATTTTAATGACTGTATCTATATCTATATCTATATCTATGAAGTATATATAATGACTGTAATTTTAAAATTATGGGAGATGCCAAAATTTCTACACCCCTCCAATATTTATTTGTTAAACCGGAAAAGGGGCCCACAATTTATTTCTAGTTTAAGGAAGGGATAGCCTCCTTCAACGATTGGGGGCAATCTTTCAGCTGACTTTTATTGGTATGTGTAACAGATATTGTACCGACAATTACCCTCATATTGACTTCCACACAATTTAATTTTATAGATTTTAAAAAAGGTATTGAAAAATAAAAAAAATAAGATTAATAAAAGTTATGAATATAATTATTTTTACGGACACACTTACACGAAATAAAATTGGATGTAATGTAATGTCTTAAGAATATGACATCAAAGGTCGTGTAAAAATAACATATAAATAGCATTTTTGAATTTGGTTTAAGAAAACTAATAATAAAGCGCATATTCTTAACTTTATTTTAAAAAAAACCCTATAAATTTTGACGCTCCGTTTTTTTTTGAGAGAATAAATATATATTTTTTTCAATAAGAAGATGAAAAGTGGCAGTAAAACGATTAATCGGGAGGGAAGGATTATTGATACTAATTACTAACGTATGTAAAAAATAAAATTGAAATTTTAGGTTTGAAATGTTGAGTATTAATCTATTTTGAAAAAGTGTGACGTCACCTGATTCATAAGTGTATACGAATAATGAATGATGTATGCATGACTCAAATATAGTAAACTCTTCAGGCATGTTTGTAAAGTACACAATGTTAAGTTTTGGAGGACGATCCCAACAATAATTGTGGAAAGTCAAAATAAACAAAAGATCAATGATACCATTGTAACATTAAATTTGACATTAACATTGTATATTTCGATAATTATTGGCAAAATATTGTCGTCTATAAGATATTAAATTATTACTAATGATGGTCTTCTTTGGAAGCAATATATCTTTATGTATTAGGGTAAATTGGATACTCAAGGTATGTTTGGTAAGCAAACAAGATATATGCTTTGATATGTTCAGATATCAAAATTCTTTTTGAGTGTTTGGTGAAGCCAATAAAATATCGAATTCGATATCTCCAGATGTCATAAATTCTTTAAATAAAGAGTTTCGATATATCCCGAATTTGGAAGATATCAATATGAGAGTTTGATATCTCTCTCAACCATTGATCAATTTCTGTCACCGGCTATCATTGTCACCGCCAACCATCCCTGTTGCTGGTCACCTCCGCTTATCACTAATTAAATCATGATTTTAAATCTATCCAAATAAATTCGTTTTAGATTTCAAAGCTCATATCATTTCTCTAAGATTTTATAACTCATATCTTATCATTTCTTCAAAACTCACCAAACGAACCCTAATATCGGATAAATTGTTTAAAACTCTAACACTAAATACTTAAATTATTCCCAAATGGATGAGATGCCAAACCTAGTCAATTATTAATAGACCTGGCAAAAAGTGACCCGACCTGTTTTTGACCCGAAACCTGACCTGAAAACATTGGGTTTTGAACAAAAGTTTTGATGACCGAACCCGAAGTTAACCGAACCCGAAATGACCCGCTAAAAATGGGTCAAACCCGACCGAACCCGAACCCGACCTGACCGACCCGCTAAAGTAAGAATATTTCAAAATTGTACACTTTTTTACTCGTTTTTAGTGTATAAATTTATATTTTCAGACAAAATTTTAATGATATTGCATAATTATCTTACTTTTTCCCCAAAACATAAGCATTTTTTTAAATTCCTTATATTGATTTTTATATCTAAATACTACTTTAGAGTTTACAATAAAATAATTTTATAGATTTAATACTTTTTTTTGATATTTTAAATTTATTAATGTGAATTTAAAAATTTAAATAACCAAAGTCATAACCCGTTGGGTCGACCCGAACCCGATGACACTGGGTTATGAACATAGAGTTCTCAACCCGAATCCGAATTGACCCGAACCCGAAATAACTCAAACTTGAAGTGACCGAACCCGAACCCGACCTGACCGACCGATTTGCCAGCTCTAATTATTAATAAGTTATAGCATCCGGAAAGAGATACTACATGCAATAGGAGAGATACTACGGGTCAAAGGTCGGCGTGGCTGTCGTTTTCGAGCCATAAAGAAAAAAAACGCATCCCAATGCCAAGAAAGTCTGTGCATTTACATGCAATCGCCTTCTATATATATACACATACATTTTCATAATATCCTCATCCTCATTCTCTCTGGCTTGACTCTTTTTTTGCTCAAAGTTCTTCCATTTCCATTTCCTCTGTGAGTTCTTCAATTCTTTTCCAGAATGGGTTTTGGGTTTCTTGCAATCCTAACGTATTTTCTTGAATTTTAACAAGCTTCGGATGAATGGGTCTCGAATTTCTTGGTTCTTTGCCCCATTATGTTTCCATTTTTTCTTTCTCTGATCTGCATCCAGAATATGCATATCGGGTTTAGGTTTAATTTCTTGCCAAAAGTTTTCCCCTTTTCGATGCAATTAAGAACATTAGAACTTCAATTCTTTTCCCTGCATGACTTTCGTGTTTATTGTTGGATTTTCTTGAAATTAGGTTAAGAATTGGTGTGGATTTTGATGGCTGTGAAGAAGAAGGGATGTATCGAAGGCGGTCTGCCAGAGGGATTGCAGAAGCTGCTGCTTTCTTTAGCTCTGAAATGGGGAGATGTGTTATTAGATGATGATGGTGATCTTGTAGGTGCCATAAAGGTGAAACATTTGAGTGGTGCAATGACTAATGAGGTTTATCAGATCAGTTGGCCTGCAAAGATGGAAAGTTTGACCCGGAAAGTTCTTGTTCGGGTTTATGGCGAAGGGGTTGATCTTTTCTTTGACAGGGATGGCGAAATTCGGACTTTCGAGTGTCTTTCCAGCAAGGGCTATGGCCCTAAGCTTCTAGGTCAGTTCCCCCAAGGGAGGATTGAAGAGTTCATTCATGCCAGGGTATGTATCTCAAGTACCTTTTCATCATCTTGGAATTGTACAGTCAATAGTGGATTCATAACGTCCTTAGTATGGTTTTGTCCAAGTGTCTTGTGAACAAGTTGGGTAGCGTGTATTCAATCATTCGTTGTGCATTTTCAGACGTTATCAGCTGGCGATCTGCGAGACCCAAAAGTCTCTAGTCTAATTGCAGCAAAATTGAGGGAGTTTCATGATCTTGACATGCCTGGTCCAAAGGAAGTTGTTCTTTGGGACAGACTGAGGTATGGTTTTCTTGAATCACTCCACTTTTCAAGTGAAGTAGTGTTTACTTGTTATAATGGAGTTGTCTTTTTTGGTTTCCACCACACAGAAACTGGCTAGAGAAGGCGAAGAGTTTGTGCTCAACAGAAGACATAAAAGAGTTCGGTTTGGAAGATTTAGAGGACGAAATCGGGTTTCTAGAAAACGAGATATCGAGGGAGGCAGAAGAAGAAGATATTGTTGTCGGTTTCTGTCACAATGACCTTCAATACGGGAACATCATGATCGATGATGATGCTAATTGTGTTACTCTTATTGTAAGTATTTTCTTATCTTCTAAATCTCAACCAAAAGTTCAACTTTGTGATTGTAGCCTGCACGTCCCTTCACGTGCATGCTAGACTAGAACGTGAATGTTAATTTTTTTTTTAAAAAAAAAACTATATGAGTAGACTTGTAGTTGTAGGTCCAGGAAAAGTTTTATACACTCTAACACATGTGTTGCGACGTCAATAGGACTACGAGTATGCGAGTTACAACCCCATTGCATATGACTTCGCCAACCACTTCTGCGAAATGGCAGCTGATTACCATACCGAGACTCCTCACGTTTTAGACTACACTAGGTACCCTGGTGAGCAACCAACCAATTCTGTTGGGGGTTTGGGATTTTATAAGATCTATGTACCTCTTTCAAGCTTCTCATTCGACAATTGCAAAACAAACAGGGCAAGAAGAACGCCATAGATTCATACGGTCCTACCTGGGTTCTGCAGGCAACCATCCAAGGAGGAGTAATGAGGAAGTTGAGAAGCTCGCCGATCTTGCAGAGAAGTATACACTCGCGAACCACTTGTTCTGGGGGTTGTGGGGAATCATCTCGGTAAAAACACGTCGATGTTCTTATTATACTTATCGTGCTCTTGCATTGCTGTATAAAAGAAAAGAGTTGAGCCTCAAATGTTTTGTTTTTTGTTTTTTGGAATCTCAGGCTTATGTGAACAACATCGGGTTCGATTATCTGGAGTATGCAAGACAAAGGTTTCAGCAATACTCGTTGAGAAAGCCCCAACTCTTGAAATGAATCACGGGATGAGACGAGATAACATGATATTCGGTCGCGTCTTTTTTTCGTGATTTTGTCACACTATGTACTGTATTCTTTGGCCATTCCATAACGGGCTTTCGTCTGTCCACCTTAAAAATGACGGGTCATAGTTGTACACAACAACGAATCCAGTAAAATTCCATAAAAAATGGAGTACAAGTGATGTATATAGCAGTGGTACGAATAAATGAGCTTTTGATGAAATGAATGAATGAATGAAAATGGAAACTCGTGTATAGTTTATTTTTCCATCCCTCCTATTCGGGTCTGTATGCTTGGGGGGAAATAAGGTCAATAGAGCAATTTAGAAAAGAAAAGGTCATCAATGTTGTAGATTCTTAAGAATGCATGGATTCAATTAAACAAAATACTCCCCCGTTCTTTTGATACATTGAAAAATTAATGAATGTAGACATGAAATATGACAATATTCATTCAACTTTGATGTATCACATGAGTCATACTGGTAGTGAAGGGAGACTTTTTAAAAAATAGACAGAGAGCATAATATTTCAAAATTATTCCTAGCATACATCACCTCTATTTACATTTAATCAATGATTGTCTCAAAATGGAGAAGATAAATACAGCCATGGCATACTAATGATTGGATTAAATGCCTTCAACTCAAGCCTAAAAGTGGAATAATAGAACTTACTTAAACTAACAACATTCACAGCAGCTACACCAACTTGTGCACTATATAAACTGACAATTATATCGAATAAAAGAATCATAAGTACCCAAGCAAAGTATCTGTTGGTTGCGTCTTGGGACAAAGGAGTCATGAGTGTCGTTTTACCCTCTACTAGATCCTCCATAGCAGAGCATTCTGTACCACCAAATCAAAATTTAACAAATTTTATGACCATAAGTTGTTGTGGTTTAAGCAAAGTTATGTCATTTTGAAGTTTAATGGTCAGAATCATACCTGTTCTGTCATAAATCGGCCGATTCCACTGCCAATTCCTGCTTCTGTAACTATTTCCTCTTTGTCAACCTCTGCATCCGTAAAAGTTAGGGCACGTTGCAATTTTCTGGGACAGAACATTTCAACCTCTACAATATAAGAGGCTTTCACCGGCCGATGATCAGAAAGCCTAATATCAGATCTGTCGTAGTTTAGTTGCCGCATTCCCTTCCCAGATGAAAGAATGCGGTCACACCTGAGAAACCCAAAGAGAGCGAGATGCAACATGTTAAGCCAAGCCCACGGTAGAATACAAAATAACGCTTTAAAATATATTTGGCTACCCTTCCTATCATATTAACCTTTTATTTTAATATGGTATTGCATTGCATATGAAGCCTCAAGTCTTGATATGATACCGAGCATATTAAGCAAAAACAAGCTATGGTTTGTTGGAAATCCAACTCCCCAAGTCTTAAGTAACATAGCAATCAATTATAAATGAAAGTGTAGAACAAATTACATTATTCCATAGGTTACGGAATTACACATACCAGGATGGAGTACGCCTTCCAGACTTTGGATCCTCTCCATGATAAACATCTGTGTTTATATCATACTTATAAGTGGGTGCGAAGTTTACAATACCTTCATCCCATCCATCAAAAACGTGCCCTTTTTTCAGTTCTCTTCTAAGCTGCAAGAAACAAGATGATATACTCCTTAGCTAGGTTCAATAACAAGTACTCTTTCTACATACGAGTTGACTTGTTCAACACAAGGGATGTTCATTGTTTAACAGTTCAATTCAAAAGAGTTGCTCAGATTTACCTGATCACTTTCAGCTAACTTAGACCACTCTTTTTTGGAGATTAGCTCCCGTGCTTTCTCGTATGATAAATTGATACGATAATTTAAATCACCCAACCAGATTATCTTACTGAAACAAAATAAAAATCCTCTTGTCAAAGTTAGAGGCAAAGAGAAAGAGATAGCAGTTGGAAGTCTTGGAAGTGATTTTGCATGTTCATTTATACTTTTAGGAATAATATAAATCCTCTTACGGGACTCACTCGTGATCATTGATACTTTTAGGAAGTCCAATAGTAGAATATGCATTGAAATGTGTCCTCCTATGAATTTCACGCACATCCGCATTTCTTTTTACTGCATCCCCTTCTTTCTCGCCTGATGATAGGTGAGAACAGACAAAACAGACAAGGGTTTGGTGTATAGACATGCTAACCGAGATTGACCCCTGAAACAAAAAAATATGTACATTATAGAAGAACTGCATGGTGTGACATAAAGAAACAAGTGTCCAACTTTCAACCCTATTTACCACCAAATCACAAAATATTTACAATAAAAAATCAATTCAATCCTTGTTAATCAAAACACACAATAAGTCTCCAAGTATGTGTTTGGAGCTTGGAAAACGGCAGGGTAAGGGAGAACATACAAGTGAAAATATTTTTTTTCTAAATGTTTGGTTTTACCTTGGAAAATATGAATGAATCAAAATCAGCTTAAACTTTTAAATGTTAACATATCTTTAGATTTCTTAATCCTTATATAATAGAACTATTTTACTAAAATGAGTTCAAGGTTTACTCACATTTTCTTTCTTTCAAAATTTCAACAGTTGATTTATGGAGTTCGAAAGACTTTTTATGTTCTCTCACATTTCCTTTATTTCAAAATTTCTATCTATTTTCTCCCCATTTTCTTTCTTTGGAACTTACCGAACTCCAAACAAACCCCAAGTGTATAATGAGTAATTGCAATCTAGAGTGCTATTTAAGCATTTTATTTCTAGATAGAAAACATGGAAGTTTTCCTTCAAGTGGTGAAAAGCTGAGATTAAGAACAAACCTTATTTCCTATATAGCCCATTACACCAACGCCAACAGTAGAAACGTTCAAGTTCCGGATATGTTTTCGTAAGCCTCGGCGAACCCATATAGTCAAGAAAATGCCAACCATTTGCTTGCTAATAATCCTCACATATGAGGGCCTTCTTTTCTGTTTTATTAACGATTCAAGATTGATTTCTCCAAGTAGGGCTACATCATACTGCAATTTATTTTGGCCATTTACAGTGGAGTTAAAGGACCCGTGTCTTCTGAAAGAGCGTGAAACATTGAAAGAATTCAATGATTTGAAGGAATTAGGTCTTTCAAAAATATCCCGAGGCAGAATATCAAGTTGTGGCTCGGGCCAACATAGGCCAATCTTCTCTGTAACACTAAGTGTTTTGGTTAGTTTCTTTCCAAATTGGATATTTGATTCCTCTGCATCTCCATCCCACTCTTCAGGTCTAAAGCAATATAATCTGTCAATTCTTTTTGGTAAAGAAAACTGCCTTTCAATTGCAAGCATATCACTGCCAGATTTATTCCCATAATTGACTTCAACGTGTTCATTAAGTGCTTCATCCAATGGAACAATTTCTTCCTCTCCCTCATCACTATCAGTCTCTAATAAAGTTTCATCTTCAATATCATGGATATCTTCGGACCACTTAAACCTTGAGGTCCTTGACGGAGAAGGAGGACCACTAACAGATTTGATCTTATTCCCGGATGGGATTTTACTGAGAGATTCTCGGATGATGTTTTCCCATTTTGGGATTGGGCGACTGTCTTCAGCGCCTAAGACATTTCCAGCATTTAAGGGAATTATTTCTTGAAAGCTGTATGTAAATAAAACTGTAAATGAGAATCCCCTTTCAGCACGAGCAATACATCAAACTAGTTGGAATCTAAAGCAAAATAATTAATTGATGCCTTGATGGAAACAAGAAGAAAATAGGAATAGCTTGATCATCAAATTAAATACTAAAAGAACAGAATGGAGATAAAATCACTTTTATCAGCAGCCCAATCCCGTCTTGTTGAGATCAGTCACATTAGAACTATTGTGTCAATTAATTATATAGAACTAATTAACACTACATATTCATGCATATAAACAATCAGGAGATGAATAAAAAGGTGAAATTCAAAAACCATCACATATACATAAAACATCATGAGATGGTGATGAGTATGTCCATTACAGAATCAATAATGCAAAACCAACATGTACATCATGTAACATGACCTAGCAAGGAGATCGCATAATTTCATATCAAGAATTTAAATAAAACCATTTATCAGTTGAAATTTTCTCTTGTTAGATATAATGCAAAAGGCAATCATGAAGATCTGATACCTACCCGAGCACATATATATCAGCAGGCTCCTCAATATTTAGCCAACCATCAAGATCAAGATCATCTGAAGGAACTTTTCCTCCAACGTTCCATGTGCCAACGCATACTCTAGTAAAAGAAATCAAACAGAAAGATGGGGAAAAGGTAAGAAAATAATGAGTGCATGCTGCCCTAGGCAAAACAGTGAAGAGCAGTTTTTGGATTCCTTATCTATACGACTATACCAAGCTAGCTTTAAAAAAGAAGAACCTGATTTCCTTTGTACTTATGTATTGTGCCCTGAATGTCTCTGATTTTCTTCTTCTCATCCTGTGAACTGTTTCTGTAATCAAATTAATATAAAAAATGAGAAACCAGTGGTGAGCAGAAAATTATAATAATTTCAGAATAAAATGCTTATAATTATTAATCAATATAAATATTGGACGAAGGGTTGGGAATTGTGTTATCAAACATTTGCGGAGTAGTTTATATGGAAAATGATGTGGATATTCAAGTGCAATATTATCATTACTATGTCATATTGTCATGTAATCATAAGCAACCCTATCATAAATTATAAGCAACCCTATCATTAAACTTAAGGTATAGTTTCACAAAATTAAGAGAAACCCTATCATAAATTATTTCCATAAATTAATCTTTAAAACCAAAGCATATCAAATTTACCATTAGCATCCATCTCAACTTCGCAGCCACTTTCATCCTTAAGCCTCGACTTCCTCGGAAACTCGCAGAAATCTATGCAAATCCAAGATAATTTCAACCATTATGCCGGAGTGTGACAATGATTGTGTAGCAGAGACGTGTTAACAAAACAATTCATTTAACATTTGACCTTTCTAGGTGTATTACTAAACAAACCTGGATCACAGTCCGAGTCAGATGCGAGCTCGGACTCGGAATCGGCGCTATAATCCGAACCTTTGTTGCTGATGTTGAGCCACTTTCTCATCACCACTCGCGGCCAGAAAAGCTGCAAACGGAACACAGAATCTCAGCACAACGCAAATGAGATGGATGGACAAATCCGATCGCCGGAAAATCAAAGTAAATGGCGAGATATGAGAGAAATCGGCCGGAAATATTAACCTCGTTTTGACGATGCCGACGCCTTGAGCCGAGCTTCATGCTTGAGAATTGTGGGGAAGGAAGCAGAAATCTGAGGAATAAAAACGAGTCCAGTTGAATGGTCGGAGCTCTGAAATTTCAAGCGAAGACGATGGCCGACGACGCAGAGTACGGAGGGGTTTTTTATACGGCCGCGCCGCCGCGTTTTTTTTAAGGTGGGACTGTCGAGTCCAACTCGTCCGTGCTTTGAACTGTTTAACAATAACCGAATTTTAAAAAGAGTAATTAATTAGCTAATTTTCAGGAGGAGAAAAACAATACTCCCTCCATCCAACAATTTACTCCATGTATTAATTTTACACGCATATCTAAAAGAAGTTTGACTCTCTTTTTTTGTTATTAGGTAATTAGAGAATGTAAATAAAAAAAATCTAGATAATTATTGAAGATATAACAAAAAATACTCTCTAATCAATAAAAAATACTCTGGTAAAATAAAGTAAATTCAAAAGTGAGTGATGATGTGCAATGGTCAATATAGTCAGTAATATGATTTTTAAGTCAATAAGTTTAGTCAAGGGTATAACTTGTCAAGAGTATAATTTAAAAGAAAAATGTTAAAGTCACAAACATTTCGGTCACAAAATACACAATCTTACGTGAAAAAATGGTAAGTTTGTCTATTTTGTGACCGAAGTGTTTGTGACTAACATTTTTGTAAATCTACAGATTCGGAATTCCAATTCTTTGACCCGTCTTGTATCCTCTAAGCATTTGTATTGTCCATACTTTTTGAGATATTAATAAGAACATATTCGTCATTCCTTTTGGTATCATGATAATTGCGGGCTCTCGATAATTTATGTTATATGTAAATTTTTATTGATCATTTGATGAAATACAATATTCTTTTTACCATTTATTTTGTACTCCCTTCGTTTCAAATTATACTATATTTTTTGTTATTCATGAGTCAAACTTGATTCAAATCTTTACCAAAATTTGTTAATCATTTGATAAAAAATATAATCATGTCAGCTCTTATTTCTTAAAGCTTTTGATATAATTTTTAAATATGTACTCAAAATTTTTTCAATCACGCCCCAAAACTCATATAAAATAATTTAAAAATAGTTTTAGTCTATTATCATAAACTGAAACGTGCACTTTAAAATGGGACGGAAGGAGTAGAATTTTTAATATAATTTTGAACGATGTAATTTATATTTTTTATTTTTACACCAATCTGTAAATAAGATTATTTTAAAAAGAGATGGGACAATAAATTGAGAATGATGGAGTATAAAATGGGAGCATCTTTATCTTTTGAGTTCTTGAATTTAGGACTAATTATTTATTGTATAATATATTAATATATCCTCCGAAGTGAAATATACATGGTGCGGAGTATCTTCTTTTCTATGTTCTTTGTAAATTTGTGTGCTATTTTTTAATATAATCAAGTGTTATGGAGTTATTGATTATGCTGCCTGCCATCCATCTTTCCACCATTTTATGCTAATTATTTAATTATTATTGTAAACAAAAGCATGAGAATCAGCCAAAAACTCTCCATAATTGCATGTCTGTCTGGAATTTAAATAACAATGAGGCCATGAACCTGAAATATGGTGCTCCAAAAAAAAAACATACCACAGAGCATGTGATTTAATTTTCTAATTCAACACTTGTAAGCCCTTTTGACTTCATTTTTCCAACACTAATTTCACAAACAATTTGTTAAAATTATATTTGGTTCAAACAATTTGGTAGGAAAAAGAATACAAAATGATATGGAAATAATCTTTCTTGTTTACTTAAAGAAGAAAAAAAGTAATGTAGAACAATAAAGTAGTTATTGCAAAGAAATGAAAAACTCTGTAAAAAGGAAAAAAAAGGTTAAATTTCTTGATCATCGTGGATTATCTTAGCAAGGCCAAAATGCTATAGCTTGACATTAAATTTAAGATTAGTTTTTTTGTGATTCTTAGATCCACATGTGAAATGTGGACTTTCTCACACTCTTTAATGGAGTTGGCAAATACTCCCTCCGTCCCCTTGTATTTATCCATATTTGACTTTTGGAACTGTTTATCTAAGCACTTTGACTCATCAAATTTTCTCAATGTGTAAGCCTAAATATAGTCATGTGTGATCTTGTTTGATTTGTCTTAACATATAGATTATTAATATATAATTTTTATAATTTTTTAATATATACAAATTACAAGATAAAATGGATTAAAGAAGGTAAAGTTGTGATATTTTAAATGTTAAAAAAGGTAAAGAGAAGATCTATGATGGAGAAATTAGAGGACTAATGAGAAGATCTGTGGAGGACGAAGAAAATATTATAAAAGAGTCTTGTTTTGTACTACTTCCTCTATCCCTAACAGATTAACAATTTAACTTTTTTTGTCAAACTGTGGCAGCTTTTGATCATGAATTAAATATAATTTAAAAATAATTAAATATTATTAAAATTTGATATTTCAAAACTATATTTTAAAATAAATCCAACTTTATAAAATTTGATTTATAACTAAATATATTTTTTTCATAATTTGCAGTCAAAGATGTCATAATTTGACCACAAAAAATCAAACTGTAATAATCTTTTAGGGACAGGAAGAGTAATGTACTTAAGGGTGAACACGGTCTGATTTAGTAACCAGAAATGTTTTCTGATCCCTAGTTATTTTAATAATAACATAAATAAATTTAACAAAAAATACAATAGACTTTTTTTTTGTAGTTCAAACCATGTGAGTTGAACAGGCCCACTAATGAGTAATGAGTTCACAATAAGTTCACAATAAATTAAAAACAAACAAATAGAGTGTGATAATCCAAAACATTGGGGGGGGGGGGGGGTTGAGGAGTTCAACAAATGAGTAAATTTGACTACAAAAATGATGTGAGAAATAAAATCTCAATCCTAGCAGAAGAAGAAGAAAGAACAAGAAGGCGGCGATGAGGGGGAGGAAGTAAAAGAAGAATGACAAGAATTAATAAATAATGAAATGAATTCCATCACACCTACCGAAAGAGCCAGCTAGCGATGAATGGCGGGGACGCCGCCAGATCAAGCGGATCTATCACCGCCGGCGGCATTTGAGGGGGAGGAGCGGAGGACTTCCATGGCCTCGGCGACTTTCTTCTTAAGAGCCTCGGGAGACTCGATGAGGTGGAGCACCTCCGTCTGGTCCATCTCCAACAGCATCCCCGTCACTTTCCCCACATTCTCCCGCTCCGCCACCCGATCCACCAGTGGAAACAGCTGTTCTCCCAGCATCTGCACCCAAAAACCAACCAGCCAGCCACCCACTTTATCTCTATTCTCAAAAGGGAATGAATCAATTCAGATCAAGAACAAGATTTTACTGGAATCAGATGAATATATAGGTAGGTGTGAATGAAGAATATATTACCACGCGCTGCTGCTCCGGCGAAGCAGATGCCAGAGTGGAAGCAAGAGTTGGGGTGTGAACTGGCGGTGCAGGGTGGTGTTGGGCGTCCATAGCACCTCCCCCCATGTTGTATCTCCCTACACCATGGTTGGAATTCCGCTGCATCCACTGCAAAATTCAACGGGCAGATTAGATTATTATTCACGAACACGACGAGTAGCTAGTGTAAGTGCATTGGTCCTACCGGTATATATACCTGCTGCTGTGTTTGTGGAGGATTTCCACCACCACCACCACTTCTCCTCATACCCACACGTGGCGCAGCGGCGGCTTGCCCTTGGCGATGGAGGTGATGGTAAGGCATGATGAAATTCGGAGGGCGCATCCCGGGAACAAGGGGCTGCTGAAACCCATACCCTCCAGCCTGGGGTGGAATGCCTTGCCCGAAATATAGCTGTTGATGAGGAGCAAGCCTTGGTGCCCCGGGGTGAAACCCCCCTGGCAAAGGAGGAGCTGCCATTGCTCCGGTCGGCCTCATTTGAGCAAAATGTGCCTGCAACCAGACTTGATCAATAATAATCATCTTATCAGAGTATTATACATTGCCCCATCAATGCAGACAACACTCACCTGTAGCCAAGCATTCCTTTCGTCTCTGCGCTGGGCAATAGCAACATATAAAGGCTTTCTTCCCACCAATTTCCCATTCATTTCACTCATCTGAAATTCATAAGAATGATGCATAAAGATCAGAGCATGTTCCCAAAAAAGTGCTAGAGAAAGTTTTTTTTTCTTGTTAGCTGTTTTGTACTATCTAAAAGAAGCCTAGGTAGTGCCCTAAATCATGAAGCATCTACTTCTTATGTTTTAATAACTCTAAGAATGTTAATTTATAAAAATGGTGCACATAAATGATGAGCAAATCTTACAGCTCTTGAAGCTTCCTCGGGCCTAGAAAAGGCTACAAAGCCAGAACCTTTGCTGGTTCCTTGTGGCTGCAGCATCACCTACATAAATAAATCTTTAAGTGAGAAAAAATGCCACATACAGAGTTGTATTCAAGAATCTTATCTTTGCACCTTGCAGGATAATATGGTTCCAAACTCAGAAAACAACTCTTTCAGCTTTTCATCATTAATGCTGTCATCAAGATTTTTCAAATACAGGTTAGAGGGCTTCATTTTCTCAAATCTACTAGCTCTCTCTTGCTCAAATTTGGATCTCAATTCCGCTACCCTTTCGGATTTCTTCTGAGCCCTGCTCACATACAAAACATTGTCATCCAAGGAACTCCCATTCAATTCCTTTACCGCAGAAGCAGCATCCTCTTGATTTTTAAAGTTGACAAACCCAAAGCATTTGGATTTCCCACTTGCATCCTTCATAACAACGCAGCTGGTGATGACACCAAATTTTTTGAAAAGCATATGAAGATCCTCATCAGAGGTTGTTTCGGGAAGGTTTTTCACATACACATTTGTGAACTTCTGTTCCCCATTTGCTCCCCCCCTTTCCTGTCGACGAATAAAGTGGCCAACATAAACTTGCTTATCATTTAGTAACATGCCATTTAGCTGCTTTATTGCAAAGTCTGCAGCCTCCTCTGTGTCAAACTGCACAAACCCATGCCCTTTAGATTTACCATTGGCATCAACAGCCACTTTGCAGGAAAGCACATTCCCAAAGGCAGCGAACGTCTCATGCAGAGCCTTGTTGTCAATGGATCCCTCCAAGTTCTTAATGAAAACGTTTGCAAGTCCAGTTTTACGCATGCTTGGATCTCGGTGAGAAAACATGATCCTCATCGGTTTCCCTTT